TCTTCTTTGTCATCATTATTACTTTAACCATAGCTATAATCATCGTCATCATCAACATCAACACCAACATTATCATCATGACCGTGCTTTTGATATCACACCATCATCCCATCGACTTAAATCAACATCGTCATAATCATGACGATCATCTTCTCCATCATCATCATCATCGTCATCGTCATCATCATCATCAGATTTTTTATCTTCAGCGCCACATCAAAATAAATATTTCGGTGTAAGATGAATGAACGAACGAGCGAACAAATGAATGAATGAATGCACCGCAGCTAACAATCATTCATTCATGCACATGTACAAGCGCATTCAATCCATACACACGTACACGCAGATAAAGACACACAAACATATTAAATATTTCAACATAAAGACGTAAGCAGACAGAAAGGAGCGTGAACACACACACACACTCACACATACATATGCTTTCGTTAGAACATACAAACATAAATAAACACGTAAAAACACATACAAACATACACAAACACGTACAAACACGTACATAAACACGTACAAACACGTACAAACACGTACATAAACACGTACAAACACATACGCAAGAACGTACAAACACATACACAAACATACAAACAGCCACAAACAAATACAAACAGATACATGTGTTATTCTTGCTTGTGAGTGCAAGAGTATTCATTCAATGATTGTTTGGACCACCGAGGCTTCTTCTCTTATCTCTCTTTTTTTCTTTCTTTCATTTTCTCTTTCAGTCTTTCATTCTTTCTACCTTTCTTTCATCTTTTTGTCAATATTTTTTTCAATTTTTCCACTTTTGTTTTTATATTTATCTTCATTTTCTTCAGTTCTTTTTATTTCTCTTTCGTTTACTTCTCTCTCTCTCTCTCTCTCTCACTCGCTGCCGCACTCTCTCCTTTTTCACTCTCTCTCTTTCTCTCTCACTCTCAATCACTCTCTGGGTATCTATCACTTTTTTTGACCTTTTCTACGTCACTTTTTCGGGTTCTTGTTTCTAAAAAAATTTCGTATAAAATTTATATAATACA